ACATGTGGCAAAACTACACGGCGTGGCCCTCTCAAGTGAGGGAAAGGAATGCAACTCCTATTCCTGTTTTCTATCGAGCGTGCCAGGGACACTCCACTTTTGTCGCTTCAATTGAGAGAATAAGAAGAGACTCGGGGCTTTGCCTCGAGGCAGATTACGGCTTGCTGAGGCTTCTCCCGACCAAGAAGAAGCCGAACATGCGAGATGAAGATCACCTTCCTTCGTGGCTCAGCCAACGGAGGTATGCCGAACCTGCGCCCGCAAGAGAGTTTGTGGCCATGGGCAATGTTGCGCAACAGGGAGAGCCGCCATCGTTCGGAGCATGGCCCGCAGAGGACACAGTCCGTCTGTGGGATGAGCTTCCGAATCGCAATGGTTCCTGGCCGTTATTTTTTGTTTTCGCCGGCCGGGTTCTCACCCGCTTTTCGTGCAGGATTTGCCAGGATGGGACTCTCGTGTCCCGTGAGGTGCCGAAGTTTACCGACATTGACAAAGCCGTCAGCCTTGTCAAAACTGGAGACTCGCTGGATCCCAGAGATAAGCAAATCTCTTGGTCCATCGTTTTCAACCACGAGTGGCCATCGTACGAGGTAGATGTTGATAACAACTTAATGCTCGGTTGGATTCACACGGACGAGACGTTGTCTTTGATCCCAGACCACATGCATCAAGTGTCACCCGGAGCGCAAGCATTCGTTCAATCTGCCCTCTGGAGGGACGACGGTCGGTTCCTTGTGCTAGCTATCACTGGGTGAGAACCGGCTTTGGACATTGCCCCTCCTGCAGCAATCCGATCAGTTACAAATGCAGAGTTACTCGCGACTACTTGCACCAGACATGGAAAAATGAAGTTTTTCCGAATTCCCTTAAGGAACACGGCATTTCGTTGCATGTTGATAAGCCCCGCGAGCTTCCTAATGACCGCGCCGGCTGGGTTGGAGCGCGGGTAAAACGGCAACGGAGAGCTTCGGCGGATGTGATATACAACATCAACAATCTGCAGCAAGAGCGCAAGTGGGCAGCCGGTAATCAATATTTACGCTTGGCTGCTTCAGGTCAAACCTTTGGAAACATTCGGACAGGTAGTTCCTGCCTGGATACCTGACCACGCCGCGGCCCAACCGCCGGCGCGTCATGGTCCTTTCTCTCAGTACTTCGAGCTTCTGAAGAGACGATTCATTAAGTGACTCGCACACTTGGCTAGGAAGCAGAGGATGCAAGTCCCTCCGATCGCGGACTGGTGGCCCTTGCTTTGGGCAACGGATATTGGCCAGTATGCGCGCCCAATGTCTTGCCCTGCTCTGGCTGCTTTTGAATGGTCAGAGGTGTCCGACGCAGTTCATGAACCCGTAGGAGGTTGGGACAGATGGGAGCGCACAGTGAACAATCAGAGAATCTTTGTGCCGACGTTGCAGACAGTGATCAACGCAATAGCCGGGACAGCGCCGTGGCTGCCCGTTGAGCAGGACAACGCCACGGACACCACAGGGCACAGCCCTCGTGGACGTCCACCGGTCGCTTGGGCAAATAGTTTTTTGGCACGGCCTCGCCGTGTTTTCCGATCCGTTACCAGGCGTGTTAACTTATGTCATGACCATCGTTTGGTTTCAGGACTAGTTCAATCTGCCGCCGGTTCAACCGAGACGGCAGGTGAGGATAATTTACAAGTGACGCTTGACTTCACTGCAGTCAGCGGGCCCAAGGCCGAGCTGATAGTTAACGGGGCGATCGATCTTGATCAACCCGAGGGGTATACCTACTCACATTGTGAAGACAATTCGTTGAACATCACGCTGGCCCAGCTCGAAGCCAAGGCAGTGGCTGCACAACATGTCATGGAATACCACAGCGTCCGCCCGGGAACAGGATACCCCAATAGACTACGACTGTCAGGTGAGGTAACGCATGAAATCCCGGATATTGTGCGGGACGTCATTAATGGGAACTGGAAAGTTCCAGTTTCGGAAATGCAATTAGGTCTTCGCATAATGCGTGTGTTCGCTATAATTCGTGAGATCGCGAGTAGCTTTATTACCGAGGGGCATTGCATTGCGTGCCCTGGGAGTGCCGCTCTTTCCCCGGGCGGGGGCTCAGACCGCGTTCAGGACAAGCGACAAAAAGACGCATGCGCCCTTGACTGCCGCATCCGTGCTGCGGTTCACACGGATGATCTCATTGAGGAGTGGTCCAGTATTTTGTGTAGACAGGTCCGCGCAGACATCCGTCGTCAGGGCACGAAGTTGCAGGGGGGCATTTATTGGTTTCAAGATAAGTGCGCGGGCGAAGAGATGGAGCTTCAAGATAAAGACGAAGGCCCCTTTCGTACTGCATGCGGCAAATTTGGCATTCCAATTGCTACTGCTGCAAGAGAAATAGTTAGATTCACTCGAGATCGAGGGGCACAAGTTAGCGGGAGTGAAGGCGCCGCTGGGCCCCCCGACGGCCAAGCCGATTCGGTGGGGCCGACGCGACCAGACGATTTGGCGAAAGCGAGACCGATTCTGCCACCTCCACCACGCCGACCCGACGTCCAAGACGATCGGGCTCGCGACGAAGTCACCGAATCTCCGTGTTCTGCCAGCGGCCCAGCCGCTTCGGCAGGTGAAGAGTACTCATGGTATTCCTCGGTTGACACGCGGGATTGGTCGAGGCCCCCGCGCGCGCGCGATGGTGCCATGGATGTCGGCCGCGGCGCTGCGGGCTGCGACCCGCTGATCCACTACCCGCACTACACAAAGGACGTCCAAGATGGATACTACGTCCATCGTGACCGCATCTACTGGATGACCGACAATGTCTGGTGGTCCCGAACGTGGCATTTACTGTCTCTGACAGATTACAACCACTACTTCCCGACGAAGGGGAACGAGTCCAATAACAAATACAAACACAACAGAACAGAGTATCACGCTGGCCGTGGCAAGGGGTGCAGATCCCGCTCGCCCCATGGGAAAAAAGGAGGTCGACGGGGAGGCTCGTCGTCGTCACGTCCGAGGCCTCCGACTCCACCATCAGGGGGCAATCCTTGGGAAGGACTGAGTAGGGCCAGGCCCGCGTGACCCAGTCATTGCAGTTGTAACCGGTCGACAAAGTCGTATCGGTTGAGAGAGCTCTACCGATCGACAAAGTCGAACCGGCGGAAAGAATTTATGTAACTAATGGTGGGAGTCGTCGGGCCTCTTCGGCCCTCAGCCCCCTGGCAGCCACCGCTGGGCTGTAAAAGTTTTTGCGGTTGGCTCCGGTGGTTGTACATATGTACAGGCTGGGGGTGCTGTGGCTGGATGGGCCCTACGAGGCCCGCCGCGGGGGGAGTAAATATGCTCCTCCCCGCCTCATCATAATCTTGCCTCTCTCGCTGCCTGCCTTGCAATGCGCTGTTTGTACTGTTACTGCGGTACTGATCCGCAGCTGTTTGTGCTAGATGGAAAAAACAAGAACGAGCTTGCCTTCGGCCGCCGCGCGTCGTCGGTCGTCGGCCGGCCTTCTCCCTTACTAATCCTGAGTACACTTGCTTACTGGTTTATTACTGTCTTATCGATGTCTCTTCCCGCCTTCTACCACTGAGCAGAGTGAGCGTGAGACCTTTATTCCTTTGTCATCTTACCCCGATTCTCAGAGGACAGACTCTTTCTCCTCCTCTTTGCACTTGCCGTTGTTCTCCTGGGCCTCCTCTTGCCCATTCTCACGCCCATGCTCGTGCTCATCCTCATGCATCTCAGGTTCATCCTGCTCCCCCTCTTCCTCTTTCTTTCCGTCCGAGCCTTTTCTCCCCTCATTCCCCATTCCCCCTCCTGTTCATACTTGCCTTCTAATGTATCCAGTTCGTATTTCAGCGTTGTCCTCTTTTGCCCTTATCGTAATCGTCATCCTCTCTCCTCTTTCATCCTTTTTCTTCTACTCCTAGCCTCCTCCTGCCTCTTCCTTGCACGGCGCTGTGCGATTGTACGCGACGTCTCTCCCCCCAGACGTCGCCCGACCTCCCTGCGCGCTGCCTTGCCTCATATTGCTTCGTCTCCCCTGATGCGGTATACCACGGGCCAAGGGCCCAGCACCACAAGTGCCATCCGGCATCGTCTCCCTGCCCGAAACCTGGCTCGGCGAATGGGAATTGTCTTCAACGCAATGGGAAGGGATGGGTGGGAGGGAAAAGATCTGAGATGTGGCGCAAGCGCACCGCAAGCTTGCCTGTCTCCTCTCTCCTCCGCGTCCGAGGGCGTGCGAGACCAGGGGGCGCCCGCCGCCGTCGGCAGGAGAGACACGAGCGGGCCGAGGACAAAGGGGGGAGGCGAGCTGAGAGACGCGGTTCATCCATCTAAACTGGTTCTGGCCAGGTACGTGTGGTCGGGAACCTTTGAGGCCGGGACCAGTGTAAACGGGGGTCAGCCAGAGCGCCGGATCTTGCAGGACCTTCCAGCCATGCGCAGAGGAGGTGGGGGGAGGGGGGAGGGCTTCTTAGAAGCACCCGTGCTTTTCAGAAGGCGCGGGCCGTGTCTGTAAAAGTGAGACCCGCTGCTTCTGAGAATCAGCCTCCTGCTAAGTAAGAAGCCCTCCCTCCTCCTTCCGCCCCCTTGTGCGCGCCGCAAAATCCTGCAAAGCCGGGGTGCACCGCCCTGGGTTAGCGCGCAGGATCATGCAGGATCCTGCAAAGCTTGACTGGCCAGGGTTTGCAGTGGCCCCGGTCAGTCGAAACCCGAATGTAGACCGAGGCCCTAGTGGGCATGTTCTGGCCAGGATTGGTGTGGGTGGGCAGTACGCCCCCGAGCGCCGAGCGCGCGCGTGGTCGCCAGAAGGCAGCGCAGTCGCACCCCTTGACCGAAGGCCGTCCCAGAGCTAGGTGGCAGTCCAGGGAGAGGATGCTCGCTGAGGTCGTGGAGGGCCTTGTTGTGGCATGGCCAGCGGCAGAGGAGAGCCTCGCTTGGGCCAGGCCACCAAGATGAGGTAACGCAGGATTATGCCGTTTCTTGTTCCTCATCAGGCTAGGACCCCAGGAGGGTCGGCAGATTTCTTGTTTTTCAGGTACCGCAGCGAGTGCTACTGGTACTCCTCGGCGCCCCGTTCGGCTTCTAATCAGTCGATTATTCGGAGGGAGGGGTAGTGGGAGGGAATGCGCGGAATGCGTGCATGTGGGGTGATGGAAGCACGGTGGGATCAGCCGCGGGAGGATCAGGCACAGGGGGATTACCGACGCAATTCGGGAACTAGTTCTCGGCGGGACATTCTGGGCTCCACGCAGCACCTATCACACAGCAGAGGGCAAAGGCAGTTCTGTATGAGCTGGCTTCCCAGCGACAGCAGCGACCGCATATTGCTCCGCATTGGACACATGGTTTGCCTGGACCACTGCCTGGGTCGCTTGTCATGTGGGTTTGCCATGTGTGATGGCCCTGGGCTTCGTCTGTGCTCCAAGTGGATACTTTTTGGGAGGCGGCGCTGCGCGCCTGCCGCCGCAAAGCGTGCTGAATCCAGTCAGTGTGCTGCAAGAGAGGCCACTTTGGGCTCGTGAGGGGCTCTGGTTTTCGGGCCGTTCTCGAGATCTAGGTCGTGGGGCCAACTCGTGGCCGAGGCTGCCAGGATTGCCCGTTCCTTATTCAGCGTTTCGTGTGGTAGCCCGATGACTATAGCTTTGTGATGACCACCCGTTGGAGAAATCAAATGGCGCATGTCAGCTTTTTTTAGGTGCAGCTGGAGCATACTGCTCTAGATCAGTGGAGGAGACGTGTGACTGTGCACGTGGGGCTTTCCGGGAGGAGCCAGCCTGACGAGAGGAGTGCGACGGCACATGCTGAGCTCTGCCACTGATGTGGCCGAAGGGCAGGAAGATCTCACTCGCCAGGATGGGGCTGATCTTTCGACTCACACGGTTGTGGGAACGAGCTTCTCCCCATCACCTGACTTCAGTTTCAATCGAGCCATCGTGATCATCCTGGGTGCAGACAGTCCAGGGAGTGAAGAGAACGAAGAGGATGAGGACGAATAATGAGAGGACGAAGCGAGGGAGGGTCAAAGAAGGGAGGTACAGATGGATGGGGTCACGAGCACAAAGGAGCGATGCGTAGGATGAGGTGGAGGAGTGGGGATTGCGTGGGTTTTGGAAGCGGAAGTACAAACAACAACAACAAATCTATGATCACGGACTTTACCCTTGACGAATAAGGGCATCGCCGATATCCTGATTCAAAGCGGAGTTGATCGAGTACCGTGCTGTTTCATTCGAGCGGTTTTGGGCCATACTTTGCAGCCTGAAGCAGATGTGCTATTTAGGATCTGAGCTGGGACAAGCCACATGAAAGAAGGACGACGAGGACCAGGAGGAGGAGTGGGGGCGGAGGAGGAGGAGGAGGAGGGAGGAGGGAGGAGCAAGCACGAGGACGAGGGGAGAGGGGGGGGGGAGAGGGAGGGGTGATGCGAGGAAGGGGGGGAAGGAGGAGAGGGGGCGGAGGGCAAGATTGAGGGAGGGGGGAGGGCGGATGCGAATGGAGTGCGGGGGAGGCCACTCGCCGCTCGCGCGCCCCTCCTCCACCCCTGCTCCTCGAGGTGCACATGCTCCGGAGTTTGTTGCTCGCCAACCTCCCCGTCCTCCCCGACGCAGCTGCCCAGATCTTGTGCATGCAGGAGCGCCATCTCCTCTCGCAAGGGCCGGGGGCCCACCACTACCAACGCCGCAGCGCATCGTGTCGGGTATTGACGTTGGTGGGCCATTTCCTTTTGTGAGGGGGCGTTGCACGGATGCACTTGTCCATCCATGTTTTTGCTGGCATTTGGTGTTGGTGGGCCGTTGTTGATGACTGCCAATCGCATCCCCAACTTATCTCCCCACACTCCTCTTTGTAACTCCACCAACTGGAGAGATACAAGGAGGAGCATGAGGAACCGCAGGATCAGGGAGAGGAAGATGAGTATAAGTAGGAGGAGGAGGAATAATGAAAGGGGCCACCGTGCACAGGAAGAGGAGAACCGCCTCTTTTGTACGCAGTCCCCTTCCTCTCTTATAAGCCCTGTCTTCTGCTCCTGCCTCCAGCGCCTGCTCCGTCTACTCCTCCTGGTTCGCTTGCCCCTGACGCGTCGCGTATGTATCCCCAACAGCCCATCAAGGAACAATTGCCAGGCAGTTGCCCTGATCACGGATGCGTAACATCATGCAGGGGAGCAAAGGCGCAAGGCAGCTGGCAAACCGAAGCTCGGTATCAGCCTGAACTGACGCAGGAGCGAGCCATATCTGTGCCGCCGCAGCTCTTTCGAATGATGTAAAGGAAGAGGATGAGGATGAGGACGATTGAGAAGAAGAAATATCAAGAGAGAGAGAGAAGAAGAGAGGAGGGAGGAGGAGAAGGAGGAAGAAAAGGGCGAGCATAAGGAACACATTAATTTGACGGAACACGCTTCCTCACAATTTTTGGTGAGTCTAGGTGGGCGGAGATGGAGGACGAGGAAGTGGATGAGGATGAGGAGGAGGATGAGAAGGATGAGGAGGAGGAGGAGGAGGAGGAGGAGGAGGAGGAGGAGGAGGAGGAGGAGGAGGAGGAGAGGGAGGAAACGACGTCAACCAGGAGGGTCTTCGCATATCTTTCGGCCTGGAAGCCTTTCGGAGGCGTCTTGGAGTCTTCTTAGGACTTTGACTGGCAGCGAAGAGGCGAAACAGGCAAGCATCAAACCACCTTGAGCTTTGAAGGATTTGGTCTCCCGGGGGCCCGGGGGTATCCTAAGGAGGCTCCGATGGCATTTAGAGTCGCCCCGTTGCCATTTTGGCTCAAGTTCCCAACGTCGCTCCCGCGCTGGGAGCTTGTGTGCAGCCGAGGGAGCGGCTCAAGGCTCCCAAGACTTCGCACCCCAGGGGTGCACGGCTGTCGCGGCCACTTTGTGAGCTCCTGCTGGAGCAGACACCGCCTCTTCTGAGGCTTCCGCATCACACCGCCCCGCAGGGGGCACATCGCTCATGTCTGATGGCGGCGCCGTGGTCCTTCCTGGTCCTCGGATGCCGTATTGGTCTTGCAGCGGGTGTGGGCTTAGCACGAACTATGCAAGCAGATTGGTGTGCAGGTGCGGGCGATCAGCACCAGCACACGTTGCGAAGGCCGCGCGCGACAAGGCTAAAGGTCTGTCTCCTAATCATGCTGGTGGCCCTCGTCAGTCAGGTGGAGGTCCCCCTCGAGCTGGAGCCAAGACGTCGACCCACCTCAGCAAGCAGCTGGCAGAGCAACAGAAGAAGTACGACAAGCTCGTGGGCAGCACTAGCAGTGGTGGTACTTCCCCTTCTGGCGGGCAAGTTCGGTCTGGCAGTTCAGCACCACCTTCTCCTGAGGACGTCCAAGCGCAGGCCTTGCGACATACCATCAAGCAACTTGAACAGGCCAGAGCAGCAGTTGACAAGGTCGCAGGTAGTGAGTGCACACGGGCGGCCTTGGACATGCATCCCCAAGACGCTCGGAAGCAATTGTCCAGACCCAAGCCAGAACTCACGGTTCACACCAATGTGGGTCATCGCCTGCAGCGTGCCGAGCAAAAGTGTGAACGGATCCGTTTGCAGGCCGGAGAACAGAATGAGGTACTACGACATGCACAGGAGAAGCTGGACAGCCTCGAGTCGCAGCATATCCTGGCCATTAAAGAAGTTGAGCAACTACGCAGAGAACTGGTGGAGACGCTACCAGCACCGGCGGCGACCAAGTCGCAGCTCAACGCGGACACGGACGAGCTTACAGACAATCCCGACGAGCAGGCATTGCTTGAGCAGTTCTTCGCGTCGGACGGTTTCAAACTGTACAAGCAGGCGCTTGAGAGGAAGGAGGCCAGGAAGACGGCCTCCAAGCGCCCTTTCGACGCTGATGGCGATGCACGCATGGCAGGCGACAGCGAGTTTGCTGATCCCATGCGCGCGCGAGTTTTCGGGGGCCATGGGGCAGGTGGTCCCGAGGCCGACGGACAAGAATGTGATCTCGGAGCAGGTGGCCCAGATCAGCGGCAGGATGATCGTGGAGCAGGTGGCCCCGATCAACGACGGGATGCTGCTGCGTCCTCAGGTGGTGGAAGCGCAGCCCGATCGGACATGGATCTCTCGGATCAAGAGCTTGAGGCACTCTACTTTTCGGCGCAGAGGGTCGACAAGAGGGCCTTCGGTGAGGCCATCGCGGCCGCGTTTGCAGCCGAGCGACTGCGGCAAAGGGTTGCAGACCCATGCTGCCCAGATGCTCAGGACTTCCCATGTCCAAGCACGGCGCGGTTCAGCCTCCCCCCGCTCCGCCCCGCCTCGGCCCCGACAGTGAGGGTTTGCTTGACAACGGAGAAGATGTTGAATCCTACAACGGCAACTCTTGGCGAACCCTGAAGGAAAGGTTGGCCGTCTCGAAGGCTCTCATTTTGCTGGCTCAGGAGGTCGGTTTCCCCGAAGGTCTCGTGGCCGAAAAGCAGGACGCGGCTCGAAAGGTCGGATGGAAAATGTTGGTTTCCCCCGCTGTCCTAGGGGCCTCGGGTAGGCCAAAGTGGGTGGTTGCGATTCTGGTGCGATCCCATCTCGGTAGTAGATGGCCCAACGAGGGCGGCATAGTTATCCCTGCCAGAGTTATGAGGGCGATTGTGGACATACCGCAGTGTCCCCCGATCACTGTGATGTGCGTGTACTTGAAGTCTGGCACGGGACTTTGTCAGCGTAGTATGTCGCACTTTGCTGCTATTGGGAAGGCTTTGGGCAATGCCCACGTGTCCGCTTGCGGAGGGGACTGGGGCCTCGACCACCCCCCCCGCTGACATGATTGGAATGGTTAGGAGATTGCATGCTCTTGTGTTTGCCCCCAAAGCCCGAACCTGTGTCAGCGCGAAATCGCTTAGCACGATCGACTTCTTCATGTGCAGTTCTCCCTTTTTTCCAAGGCCGTTGAAGGCATTCAGTGCGGTTTACAATGGCGAGGACGACCTCGCCGCCGATTCGCATGCATCAACTCGTTTATCCCGGCCACCACAGACTTCCAGTCGAATTGCCATTTGGGCCATCTCCCGAACCGCCTGACTGGGCGGCTGCCAGAGACATGGCCGAGTGTGCTGCTGAGGCTGCCGCGAACAGGCCCGTCGGTTTCGCCTGGGAACTCCTCAGCAAGGCTTGGGGAGTATTCTCCAATCGCCTCGAGATCGAACTGGAAGCGTCTCTGGGGGTCAACATAAGGAATAAAGGGCTTAAAGGAGTTTTCCTCCGTCCTTCGTGGGTTCGCATTTTTGCCACCCGTAAGAGTGCTGGCACCGAGTTGGTGGATCAAGGGTGGCTGTGGCTGGCCCAGCTTTGTTCTGAGACGACGGGGGTTGTGTCTAGGCTTTCTAAGGCTGTCAGGGATCCTTCCACCCCACCAGCCAAGGGCGAGGAACTCGCGCAGGACGCGCCGCAACAAGTGCAGCAGATTCTGTTGCAGCCATGCCCTGGAGAGGGCTTAGCGGCCAGGCTCGACGCCACTGTCGCTAGCGCCAGGGAGCTGATGCGACGTTGGCCACCGCCTTCGCTTGAGGACTGATTGCAGGAGTCGCGCGACTTCCAGGCCTCGTGGGAGGACGACCGTGAATTGGCTGAGAAGGGCCTCAAGAAGGCCAAGCAGGACTCCTGGGACGAATGGCAGGATAACGCATTCAAGAAAGGGGCTAGGGCGACACATCGGCTTACCAAGTTAAAACAAAAATGGAACCCCACGATCGTCCAGGTCCACCCATGTGTTTTCAGCAGCGACCCTCAAGAGCTCTTGAGAGCTGAAAGGGGGCACGCTCGCCCGTTTTTGGCACGCTTCTGCTTGGCCAGGCCTGGTGGAACTGCCCGACCGTGTGCATTTGCCGAGGGCTTCGGCCCCAGAGAACAGGAAGGCCAGTGCTAGTTTCCCTGCTAACGCGTCTCAATCGTTGGATGGGCTCCACCCCAAGCAACTGTCGCTGGCGTCGGACGCAGCTCTCGAAGTGTTGACGGCCTTGTATCAGGCTGTCGAAAGCCCGGGACTGTTTCCGAAATTACTTTTCTGGATGCGGTTCCCCTTCCTGGAGAAGCCGAAAGGTGGGCTGAGACCCGCCTTGCTGTGTGCGGGACCCGTTAGAGTTTGGGAACGTTTGAGAAGACCGCTCTTGTTGAAATTTAGCGATGGGTACCCTCGTAGGTTCTGGGCCTTCGGACCAGGACGCAGTGCCGAAGATGCTGCGTGGCACCAGGCGGCGCGTTCAGAGGTTAGTGCGCGTGAAAATCGAGTCACGTGCGGAGTCGTTTGGGACGGGGCCAAATATTATGAGAGTTTTGACCTTGGGCTCCTCAGGTGCAGAGCTTTGGCCCATGGGCCCCACCCTGTCATTGCGAAGAGCACGCGCAATTTTTGGAGAGGCCCAAGGCTGTTGCGGTTGGGGGCCCAATATGGGGCCAACCCACTTTTTGCTCGGTCAGGCTTGCCAGCGGGTGACATCTCCAATGATCTGCATGTGAGGGTATGCAGTATCGAAGGTTTTGACCAGTTCTGTATGGATCACCCGCGGGCCCACCTGAGCTCGCACGTCGATGACGATTCCCTCGCGACAGAAGGTGAGACGGGGATCGAAGTGCTCGGGGGGGTGTCCAGGCCGCGGCGGCCATGTTCATCGTGTTTCAAGATTATTTGCATGTGCAGCTGCAAGCGGACAAGCTCGCAAACCTCCGCGAGCTCGGTCCAGCTCGCACGCAAGCTCGGCAAGTCGTTTGGAGGACTTGCGGGGAATGTTACCAACAGCGCTGTCGTTTTAGGGTCTGACTTAGCGGTTGGACAAACGAGGAGATCCCAGAATGCCCCCTGGAAGCTTAAGCACAGGTTCAGACACAGGGGAGCGAGACGCAACATTGTGAGAAGGTTCCGTGAGATGCCCCCCCCCCGTAACAAAAGGTAGGATTGGTCATGCTATCACTGCGGGAGTGGCCCCAGCGGCTACCTTCGGATCGGCCGCTGTCGGAGTGGATGATAAAGAGATGCGCGAAGCCCAACAAGTTTTGCTGGCTCACAAGCCACTGTATCATCGAGGCGTCTCTGTTTCACGCCAAGCTTGCTCTTGCGGGCGACCCAGTCTGGAGGGCGGGAGTCGCCCCAACCCTTCGCTGGGCGCACATAGTGTGGACCGCTGTGACCACGCCAGGGGTTTCTTTCTACAGCGTTAGAGAGCTGTGTCAGATGTGGAAGGCCGTTCCCCACGGAGAAGGGTTGGATTGGAAGAGCCCACGTGGGCCCATCCAGGGAATGCATCTCTCGTTGAATCGGATTGGATGGCGATCCACCTCGGCCCGCACGTGGCTCGATGCTTTTGAAGAAGTCGTCCACTTGGGTTTCAACAGCCCTGCTCTTGTCGTCCAAATGTTGAGGATCGGGACCCAAAGGCATCATGAAAGAGTTCTTGCGGAGCTCACCTCCTTGGTTTTTTCCTTGGCAGCCGAGTTGCTACGGAACCGCTGGTCCGCCTGCTGCCCCCTGGGCCCAAGAAACTCGCCACCCGTGAAACGCATGTGTCCATCGCGATTTTTTGTGGAGGCATCTGGGCGCGGTCCAGCGCCAAGACTTCAGGCTATGACTGCGGCGCCCAGTGCCCGCTGTGCCAGGAGCATGACAGTGTGCGGCGCCGCATCTGGGAGTGTCGGCACTCGGGCGTCGCCAAGGCACGCGCCGAGGCCGTCGGCGAGCACGAGGAGTGGCTGCGCGAAGCGGTCGCCAGCGAGGACAGCAAATTTTGGGGGCGAACTGAAGTGGGACCACCCTGGTCACATATTTCCCCCTCCTAGTGGCAGCCCCAATCCCATTTAGCTTGATCCCCAGGGCCAAGAAATCCCGTGGTATGCCATGGGCCTCGAAGGTCTTGGCATATGTATGGGCGGTTCTTGCGCTAGGCATGTTCTGGGAGATTTATCTCGAGCTGCCTATGCCTGGTTTTCTCGATGAAGTAGGAAATGTTGCGGCCTATGCTCAAGGAGCCGCGTGCGATGTGATGCAGCAGACGCCGCAGGCTGCGGAGCGCCAAGCTATGGCTTGCGCCCCGACCTTTGTCGAGAGGAGTGGAGACATGTATTCTGATTTTGCCACGGCCACTCAGCTCTGTAACGCGGACCCCGGGCGCCAAGTTTTTAGGAAGCGCCTCTGCGGAGGAATGAGAAGATGCGCTTTACTCCACGAGAAGAAGGGGCATTCGTTCAATGCGTTTCACACCCCTGCCCACAGGCCCCAAGAAACCCTCGATAGCCTCCCAGGGCCCGAGAGGATCGGCGTGGGAAACAAACTAGCGGATACGTTAGCCAAGCAAGCCCTTATCCTTCATCCCCAGGCCCCGAATTCGCAGTGGGTAACGTTAGGAGAAGAAATTAACCAGCTTGAGTTTGCTGCCCGAGCAGCGGCCAACGTTTTGTGAGCTTTCCCCTCGGAGCACTTCGAAAGGAAAGAAGGAGGCCCGATATGTAAGTTGCTAAGATCTGGTGGCTGGCACCACTGGGAGATCATAGATGAATACAGTGAGTGTGCTAGGTGCCTCAGGTGCTTCACTTTTTCATATGAGGAAGCGTCCCGCCCGTTGCTCGGCTGCAAGGGTCCTAGCAAAACGTGGCGTGGAGTGCCGGATTTCCCCAAGGGCCATGAGCTGGCCCAAGCACTCGTGGAGTTCAAAGGAGGCCAGCGCAGCCTCTTTTTCTGTACGACATGCGGGGCACACACCTCGAAGAGATGTCGCAAGCCCGGCCAGGACTGTATAGGCCGCCCCCTTCCTGGAGCCAGGTCGACGCTGTCGCGCATCAGAGCTGGACTTTACCCACAGTGCAGTGCCGAGCTTTCTCGTGTGGGTGCTTCCTCGAGACGAGGAGTGACTTCTCTTTGCTATGCTGCTACCCTCCCCCCTCCTCCCGAGACGACGCCTGCGTCGTGCGGAGTTGGTTTGGAGGGACTCGTACAGACGCCTGGGATGCAAGCGCTTCTCGCTCGCATCCAGGCCCGTGAAGCAGCTGCCCAGGCAGCGCAGCAGCAGTAAAGAGTGTGTAATCGGTCCCGCCTCGCGGCTCGCAGACAAAAAATTAGAGTTGCCTTGGTGCTGTCTGGAGGCTGGCTGGAGTCATTGCAAAGTCATTTTAAACGCATGTTCGAGTATAGTGTGCCATCTAGGAGGCCATATTGTTGTATCCGAGGCCATATTGGAACCATCTGGAGCCATCTTGGACGCTCTAACCCCTCGGCCCTTCCTGGGCCTCCCCGTCCAGACCCAGGGGAGGGGGTAGGATAATGTCGCAAGCTGTCTCGCTCACTCTCACCCGCCCTCCCCCTGTACGAGTAGCACCCGAGGCTCAGCAGAGGCAGTGGTCGCCATCGGATGATGAACCAATGCAGACGCCATGTGCGCGACGCTCGCGAGGTGCGCCACGCGTGCCCAGGTGCTCCGCACACCGGGTGCGCCAGGTGCCCCAGGGGCCCAAACCGTGTCAGGCGCGCTTGGTGCACCAGATGCGCCAGGAGCTCCACGTGCACCAAGTGTGCCGCATGCCCCCGACGCGCGCAGAGTGCGCCAGGTTCACGACGCGCGCAGAGTGCGCCGCGTGCGCCACGTGCAAGCGACAGCACACATCAGGCTATACGTCGACACCCCCGCCATCCCTGTCAAAAACCACTGCAGAGGTGCGGCGGGGTGGCCTGCATGGTGTATGGTATGGTATGTGTGTAAGTGCACCCTTAATCAGCTTACATGTTTAAAAGGACCGTGGGCCAGCGCGCAGCGGACAACTACTACCCCACCCACGCCATTTCCTCTTCCTTCGTCTTCTTCCTCCTTGTGTAGAGTTGTGTTGGATTTATTCGCATGGCCGTTTCGGCCACCTGGTAGGGGTCATTGCACAATTTCTGTGCAACCGTGGGGTTATTATTTTTCCCAGAGGACTCGTATCATTCGCCATCGGGGTTTTCTCTGGTCTCCTCCGACTCCCACCCATGCCTGGGCAATGACTGTCACGGGTAGCTCCGTTTTGCTCGGTCCGCCCTTGTGGGAGGCAACATCGGCCGCCCGGGGGCAGAAACAAACACCACATTTGGTTGTCGCCATTCTGTGCGATACAGTGTTGTCGCTCGATCTTCCAATTTGGCCATTTGCGCACCAGGATCTCCCTCCTCCTCCTCGTCCTTCTCCTCTTCCTCCTTCTCCTGATGGACGCGGTGGTGCACTTGCGGCCGCGCAGCCTGTATAACTGCCTGAATTTCCGTCCTGCAGGAGTGCAAGACTGTCCGCTCCCATCCTCTTCCTCGGGAAAACATATTACCCCACCCCGACATCCCTGTTAAAGGACGGTGCAACATGCTCGCAGGGTGCCCGCAAACGATTCAGACTTTGTCTCGACGTGCGCTCTGTGCTGGTTTTGTTGGCGGGGGTGGTGTGGGGGAGGCACATTGTTCCCAGTAGGTCGATGGAGTGGGGGAGGGGGTGCTCTTTGATAAGAAGCTGTGCTACACCCTTCTGGAATCGGAGTAAGGGGGTTGGACAAGGAAGCGCTTGAAACTACCTGCGTCCGGAGGGCTGGTGAGAAGTACTCCTGCTTCTCCTGCTACTGCTCCTGCTCACTTTTCTCATCCTTCCTCGCACTCCTATCGACGTAGACGTGTTGTCGTCGACGCTGCAGGTGCGTTGCAAGAGCGGGACGCGGCGCACACCGCGCGCAAAAAGGGCGAAGCGTCGCTCTCGCCTCGGGGCCGCGCGCATTCTGTCCGGAGCGTTGGGCTCCCGCTTGGGCGCGGCGCACCGCGTCCACGTGTTGCTCGCCAGTCCGCCGGCAACGGGGTAGAGCCCGAGTGGGCGAGCCCGAGCGCCGCGCAGATTTCGCCTGAAGGTGGCGCCCCCGCTCGGGCGCGGCCGATGGTTCCACCCGCCCAGTCGCTGGGAGCGGGGCTGCGCTCAAGCGGGCAAAATGTCGCCCTCGCCCACGCGCCTTGCAGATTTCGTATGGAAGCGGTGTTTCTGCTTGGGCGCGGCGCATGCCGGGTTGCTGGAAAGCTGCAGCGGGGCCGCGCGCGAGCGGGCGAAATTTGGTTTTCGCCCAAGCGCCGCGCAGATTTTTCGTTGAAAAGTGGCAGTTGGCACGGCGCATGCCTTGTCTTCGCCGCTCTCGTCTGACATTTCGGCCGCGCGAGAGAATTCTAGACGCTGCTCTCGCCGCAGCGCCGCGCATAAATTTTCTGCAGACGTAAACTCGTTCAGTGTCTCGGAGAATTCGTTGGGAAGGGTCGCGTGGTTGATGATCTGGTCGATTGCACTTTTCCTTGTGGTCGATTGCGCTTTTCCTCGTTGGTTGTCCTTTCCGCGCTGATGAGGAGTTTTGGGATGGCTGGAGTACGAAACTTAATTTTGGTGGGGGGTCGATTGCCTCACGCGCGCGCGCCCGCGCGCAGCTGTCGGGCCCGAGGGGCTCCTACAGCCCAGCAGAGATTCGGGGTTTCATCCCTCGATTTCCCAGCCCTCCCGCTCCCCTTGGGTGTAGGCCTGGGGCTGGGCATTGAGCCCAAGGCGCTCGTTTGAGGATGCCAAAAGTCAGTGCGGGCTCGCGTGGCCCTTAGGGCTGCCCTCCCGCTGCTGTCAGGCGCGGCCCAGCCGCCCGAGCCGCAGGCGCCGCGGCTGCTTCTTGGCGTAATTTTCTGCAAGGTCCGCTCGCGTCCGTGCACGGCCTGTGTTTCTTCCCCTGGCCAAGTCTTCGGGTGCGGGGCCGCGCGCGAGGGTCTTCCATTCGCCAGATGGGGGCGCGCGCCAGCGCTGGTTCCTATGGTACGGGAGGGACGGTGGGAGAGGGCGGGGTCCGCTGACCCGCTCCATTTGGCTAACTCACTGCTACTTGTACCCCCCCACGAGTGCCCTGATGGACTGGCTCGTCCCTTGTTTCGGAACTCGAGACGGGGTGCCTCCCTGGCCCCCCCGGCGAGGACCAGTGTGCTGAACATTGGCCTTGGGAATTCTTCATGGCCGCGCCGCGCTAGGATGAGTGCGAAGGGCGCCTCGAACAATTAGGGCCAGCTCCGATCCCACCTACCACGAGCATGCCACCAGCTGGATGACCTGGGTTGCCGCCGTCGATCACCTCAACTGTTCTGGGCGACGACGTGCGACTACCCGATAGTCATACGATGAGTGTGGGCAGCAGGGACACCGATGCACCATTGGTGAACTTCCCGACACGGACCGGGGGTGCGCTCGCTGAGAGGTCGGCTGGGAGGAGATGGCGTCGTCGGAGAGTGCTGCCCCGCCCCCACGATCGCCCATCGGCGAAAGGGTCGAGCAGTCAAGCCGATGCTCCAAATCGTCGAGGCTATGACAATGCGCTGGATGCGGGTGATGAGCTGCATTTCCTGTGTCTTCTCCTCGCTCCTCGGTGGCTCGACAGAGCGAGCTGCTTTTGGACGTCGCAGTCAGCTTGACTGCCCTCGCCGACGCCGTCAGACATTGCGGCGTTTATCTGCTCAAATTGTGCCCCCCTCTGTAATCACACAAGCCATCTTCGGCATTAGAGAGCCCAAGCGCAGCACGGCACGTGCTCGCGCACGCGGCACGGCACTGCGCATATAGCCAGGTGCGGCACGGCACGACGCGCGGGCAAGGCACGGCACGACACACAATCGGCATTTTCGAAACCACGCACGGCACGGGACGCGGCCACGGCACGGGCGCATGGCACGGCACGGCACGGCAGATGTCTTGCATTCAGGAGCAGAGAACTCTGTTCTTTAATCAGTTCGGACCCCTTTACACCACTCGCTGTTTAGGAACAAAGGTTTGCCTGTCATCATCTTATCTCGATTGCATCCTTCCCCATCCCTTACCAGTAATTCGCACTTATCCCTTTTTCCTCCTGCTCCTCCTCATCCTCGTCGTTTTTTCGCCCCTGCCCCCGCGTCCCGCTTTTCCCTATGCCTTCGCTCAGCTGTTTTGGGCTTCGCCTTCTGTCTTGCTGGCTTTCGCTCCCCCCCTCCCGTCCTTGTC